ACCACAGGGAGGGGCGGTGCATTTAGACCATATAACAATGATAGTTGGAAATGATGACTCTGGACAAGAACTGAATGCTGAAAGGAGGTAAAATGATATTCATGATGAATTTCAGTAACACTATTGCAAATCACAATGTCTAAAAGTAAAATTAGAGAGGACACACATACACAGAGAGAGAGAGAGAGAAAGAGAGAGAGAAAGAGAGAAGTTTCTGTCATAGAGGCAGGCTGCGGAGGCAGGGCATAGGCACGCAGGTGCTGGGACACTGGGGATATTGGTGGTGGTAACTGTGCTTTGGTGAAGGGTGAAGGGACAGGTGTTGAAACATTACAGGACTGAGAATCCATCATAAACAACTTATTAACTGTGTATCTCACAGTGATTCGATTAAAAAAAGTAGCAAGAAATGAGTAACATGAAAAGTAACATTAATAGGCTTTATCAGTGAATATCTCAACAGAAATTTTGTAGGCCTGAAGAAAATGACATGTGCAAAGAACTCCAACCAAGAAGAGCTAGTTACACTCTAATTTAAAGAATGATTATAAACTTTATAAGCACCAATAAAAAGCATTCATCTCTACTAAACTGTCCTTGAAAAAAAGTCAAACGAACTTCTAAATTAAAAGAAATTCTACCTGCTAGAAAGAACAACAGAGTCAAAATAGAAGATTCAGGAGAGGAGAACAATAATGAGTACTCTTAGGATTAGCTTGAAAGTAACTTGTTTCCAATTTCATAAAATATGGTCTAAATTTAGAAATTTATCTGTAAACTTCAAAGTAACCTCATAACAAAGAAAAAAACAGGGGAATAGACCCAATAATTGCACAAAAGGTAATAATTTTATACAAATAATATCTCTGTCAACAGAAGGAACTCATTAATAAGAAGCACAGAATGACTTAATGATAAGATAAACCCCAGTATTCTGAAGTCCCCAGGAAACTCGGTTAATGCCCAAAGGTGAACATAGGCTTAAAGTAAAAGATTAGGAAAGAGAGCCATGGAGATGAATCAAAGACTTAGAGCGCATTCTTGGCATAAGGTAGGCCTGGGGTACAAGGTAGGCCCTGTCACTGCATGTCTTTTGTATACTTAGAGGAATGACTCCCTAGCACTGAGCCAAGAGTAGCTCCCTACGAGTACCACTGGGAATGACCCCCAAACAAAACAAAAGACAACAAAACAAGATAAAAAGACTAGAAAACAATCCTATAAGCAAATAGTATCTTAAAAAGAGAAGAGATAGAAATACATAAGAAAAGTAGTCTTCCAGTTACAAAATAAGTAAGAGTCAGAGTAGGCATAGCTATTTTATACTGCCTGTGGATTTTATTGTTTTTACAATACTGTTATTCATCATTTCATGCGCACATTGTTCCAAAAACACAACCACTACCAAGGTGCCCGTTCCTCTGCTAGTTTCACAAAGACCCTTCCCACAATTACCAGTAAGCTCAGTTCTGTGAACTAACTCTTCAGTTCTGTTGCATTTAGCCATTTGTTGCATTGCTATATTTGTTTGTTTTGTTATTTGATAGTTTTAAGGGCCATACTCTTGGGATACTCAGGAATTACTTATGACTATCTTCTCAGGAATCACACCTGGCTGTGTTTGGGGAATCGAACTCAAGCACAGCTATCTCTGTGCTATCTCTCCAGCCCTATATGTTTCTTTAGAGCCCACATATCAGAAAAATCACTGTGTATCTGCCCTTCTCCATCTTACTGACTTCACTGAAGTTCCCATAGTTGTATCCATGTAACAGTAAATTGCATTATTTCATTTTTCTCTTCTAATTTAGCAGAATCCCATTGTGTTTTTTCCAAGTCAATAGGATGCTTTTACTCCAGTCATCATTTCTTTTATAGTCAGAAGCTTCCTCATTTGATGTTCTATTCATTTATCTTTGTCTCCAGTTGCTTGACCAATAACATGCTAAAGTGTGAGAGATAAAAGACAGATGGATTAGTTTCTCCATAGCTTTCCATATAATCTTGAAGTAGTGATATTTCTGTTTGACACCACCCATATATATATGTATGTATATATATATATCATCCCTCTTGTCTTTTTTTCCATGATTTTTTAAATTTATTTCTTTATTTTTCTTATATTTATTTATTGAATCACTGTGGGAAAAGTTACTAAGCTTTCAGGTTTAAGTGTCAGTCATACAATGATCAAACACCTCTCCCTTCACCAATACTCATTTTTCACCACCAAGAACCCCAATAAGACAATTACATCCCAGCAACCAATATGGGCAGCCAGCGTACATGCAGGGACTTCTAGTCTACCACATGCTGGTACCAGAGGAATCAGAATTTATGCAGCAATAAAAATAAGAAGGAAACCATTTTTCTCAGGTAGATGGAATGCTTGTTAAGATTAATAACTCTCGGGAAAGTCTGGGGAAGGGCAAGGATAGTGACCCCATAGCTAAATATTAGAGCTATGAACAGCAGCCAAGAAAACCCAACTGATTACATAGCCTCTCAAAGAGAAACATCAAAGGAGAGATTAAATTAGAGCAGCAAGTTTTACATCGGAGATAGAATCCAAGATGACTTGTCTGTCTTTATCAACTCACATCACTAATGAAATCTGAATCTCCGAGGAAAGCAGGATAATACAGAAATAGAAAGAGGTTGGCTTGAGAAACGAACATCCTGGGAGAATAAAGATATTTAAAATTTATCAGTGAGCCTTGCTGGAACTACCCCTGATCTTTCGCTTCTCATTCCTGGAATTGAGCCTCAGATCTGAGTGCTCAGTCTCTGAGGGGGACATCTAGAGAGAAGTTCCTGGAAAGAAAGAAAGAATGAAATCACAGAACCAAACAGAACTCCCCAGGGAGATTCTGGGTTTCATTCCACATATAACACCAGGAGCAGGCTGCTCTGAGACAAACTTCTCACTGAAGTATCCAGATTGCACATGACTTCCCCACACCACTTGTGGTTCCACATTTGACTCCTCTAGAGAATTAGCCGAGGGTTCACAAGTGGAGGGCACATTTTCCAGTCAGAAGATAGGCTGGCTCTTGCTTCCTCTTGGAAGCTGGCAAGAAAGCGAGGTTAAGTCTCATTGCAACTTCAACTGAGGGAGTCGGATGCTCCTCTTGGCCCCAGAGCAAAAGCCACAGCTTTGGTAGGCTGTTGGGATGACAGTACAGAAATTCAGCAACGGCATATCCTCAGAGGGTGTTTATTCACCTGGTGTGGGGGCTTGGATAAAGGTGGTTACCAGATCCAGCAGTTGGTGACTGGGTCCCCCGTAACATAACTGAAAAGCAAACCAAAGGAGAAGAGTGGGAAAGAAACTTAGGGGCCTTATGGATCACTGTGACCTAGTTTCTGAAACTCTTGGTCAAGACCCTCCCTTGTAGGGTCATGAAACTAAGTATGAGAGTTCTTTTATCTTACTTACTTATCTGTCATTTTGAGGAACACACCTAACAATAATTGGGGATACTTCCAGTTCTGTGCTTAGAAGTCACACCTGTACTTCCAGAAACCAAACCTTGACCTCAGAGGACCATGTGATATCAGGGACCAAACCTGGACCTCAGAGGACCATGTGGTGTCAGGGACCAAACCTGGACCCTCGCCTGTTGAGATATCTTACTAGCTGCATATGGGAGTCACTTTAAAATAAGATTCTTTATGATTTATTATCAATGAATGATTTTCATATCTATTTTATAAGTAAATACCCAGGGCCATATAAAAATTTGGGGGATGTCAAGGGGTCATAACTAGTAAGAGTTTAAGAAGTCTTATTCTGTGATATTAAAAGAGTTTGCCTTTAAATGAGGAACAGGATACAACACTAAATTTGCTTCTTGGGTTTCTTTATCCTTAGGATTTTTTAAATATTTTTTCAATTTACTAAATATTTTTAATTGACACAGCATTTGATTATAACATATGTTGTGGCCGCGTGACCTCTTATCAGGACATCTTTTTATGACATCTTATTATCGCATTCCTACTTTGGACAAACTTGCAGGCTAGCGAATGTAGCCTGCCCACAGGGCAGAGTCTGGCAAACTCCCCGTGGCGTACCAAATATGCCAAATACCAATAACAATGATGGGTCTCATTCTCCTAAAGAGCCTTGAATATAATCTCAGGGCTAGGATGAAAGAGACATTACTGGGGCCTGCTCGAGGCAATCGACGAATAACAGGATGATGAATGAATGAAAAAATGTAAGTTTCAGGTATGCCTCATAAGTAATCAGACTATTTACTACCTTAACTTCACTATGTAGGAGCTAGGAGAGAATATGATATTCAAATCAGTCCTGTTTTGATCCCCAAGACCATATGGTCCCCTCAAACATTTCCAGGAAGAGCCATGGAGGTCCCAGAAACCCGCTAGATTAGCTGTCATATCCTCAAATCCTGCATTGATCCACAGAACCAACTACACTGAAAAATCACTGGTGCAGGCCCCAGATATACTAAGAATCTTTGGTAGCCCCCAACCCCACAAAAACTGTTCACTATGTAAAATTAAATTCCATTCTTCACCATGCTATTTTCACCCCCAATTTATCTTATTTCTTCTGGCAAAACATTTTTTCTTATTTAGTTTGTCTGTTTGATTTCTTTATGTATCATATAGGAATGAAATCAATTGGTGTTCCTCTTTTCCCATCTGACTTATTTTACTGAGCATAATATCCTCTAGGTTCATTTATGTTGTTGAAATAATAGGATTTTATTTTTCAATAGTTGAGAAAAATTCCTTTGAATGTACGCATATCTATATATCACATCTTCTTTATCCAATTATCTTTCAAGAGACACTTAGATTGTTAACAGTTCTTGGCTATTATAAATAATGCTACAGTAAACATAGTGCTACCTATTTCTCTTCAAATTAGTGTTTCTAATTTTTCACATAAAGACTGGAAGTGAGACAACTATACTTTGTAGTACTTATAATTTTTAAATGAATCTATGTACTTCTTTTCATAACAGAAATTTAAGGAATACTTCACAAATTAGTGTGATTCCCTTTGCAGAGGACATACTAACTTTCTCTCTATCATTCCATTTTTAGTACATGTGCTGTAAAAGTGAGAACAACCCTGGATTTCTCTATAAGAACTCCCTGAGGAGTGCAGATGACACAGTACAGGCACATTTCATTTCTGTTAATTTAATCATCCTTTCACTCATTATTCAACCTTCTTAATGAGTAATATCTAGACTCTGGTTTTCTCTAGAAGACCCTCATGGTCTCTCTACATCAATTCCCAACTACCTACATCGGCTGATTCAATGTTTTCAATTGTCGAATCCACTCAAATGGTACCTTTCACATGGCTGGTAGCCTTGTAATTTCTTGAAACTCAGGGAGTTTCTGTTATCTGACAAAAGCTACAAACATCCATTGAAAACAATAAGAGAAAGAGCTATTGACCCAGGCGAGAGAGGAAATTGGCAGAGGTGTGTGACACAGAGGGAAGGACACAGCTGGGCATGAGATTGGTGCCAGACCTCTCTCCATTCCAGCGCTACAAACTGACTTCCTTCCATTTCCAAGAGGAGTACTCTGACCAAAGAATACTGTATTTTTCCTATACTAAACCCTATTTTTTATTATTCCCTAAACACTTTTTGAAATATTCTATCTATCTGAATCAGCTGCACACATTAAAAAATAGTGAATTGTTTTTCCTGTGAAATCAGCAGGCTCACCTGCATTGATATCACTCAAATCAAACACAGAAAGTTAATGTCTTTGGCAGACCCAGACAGCTGGGGGGCTTGGAAGAAGTAAATGCAAGCGTTTAGAAACCTAAAGCTATTCTATGGCCTTCCACACACGCCCGATAGTCCTGGAGGAGATTTAGGTGATACATCATTTTTATAGGTATGTATTTATTTTAATATGCTATAATAAAAAGTTACAGCTATCCCATCAAAGCAATGAGATAATATCCATTTAAAAGAAACTGAATAAAAAAATTTACAGAGTAAGTAAATACCAATCCAGGGAATGTATAATTGTAGTAACCTGTCAAGGGCCATACGTAAATGACTGACTTTGGGGAAATCATGCCACCATGCTTCCCTACCCCCAAAGACCCTTCACCCTGTTTTCTGCCCTGCTGCAAGAACTCGTAGTCTCTTTCCAGCCATCATTCTTCTACACCATGCTCACGTCACCCTGATTCTGCTTAGAAATTCTGCAATGAATAAGGCTATTACACATTTCACAAACAAAAACAAAACATGCCAGCTCTGAGCAGCAGGATGGCCTAACCGGCAATCTTATTTCTATGCTTTGAATTGCTGATGAGCCATTTATAAGAGCTCTAGCTTTCTCATGCCTATAATTTGTTTTCAAGTATCAACTGTACATCAAAACATGACAACAATCAGGAATAGTTTGTCTGGAAATTTAAAAAATGATCTTGTCTCACTAGTCACCAGAGACTATTTCTCTCAGACGCACATCAGAAACTGTAGCTGTTTGTGGCCACATCTCATCTTGACCCTCCCTCTGGAGACACTTTGGGATGCAGAATGAAAAATTGCTTTGCAGTTTTTACTTCTTTTTAACTTCCCAGCATTTTTCCGTCAAGAAGTTGACTACAAAAAGTGCCAACTAAGTGCCTGGATGCTGAAGATTACCAGCAGGCGGAGAGCTCCCAGCCAGCACTCAAGTGCCTCCCATCCTCCCTGACTCTGCACTGTGGGCCGAGACCCACAGCACACACTCGTGATTAATCTGTACTCATGATATTCCTCTGAAGCATGATTCTTAAAGGGAGGAAGGTTGTTATTTCATCTACCTTATAATACTTTCTCCCAATCTATAATAATTTAAAAACACTTTTCAGAAACCCAGATGGTGGGGTCTAGAATAAATTTTGCTTCAAATCTTGAATTTTCCTGGGAGATAAGGAAGAGTGATTGCCTGAAATAAACCAGCAGAGGCAAAGTGTCCCCTAGGGGAGACCTCTGTTATATACACCCATCTAAGAAGCAGGAGGGGTGTGAAGAAGAGACAGATTAAGTCTAAACAGGTCAATCTTAACCTCTGTGAAAAATAAGAGCAAGAGAGACATTTGCCTTGCAGAAAAGCAACAGCACCAATAATGGCTTACAGGATAGTGACAATTGACATTGGCTTATTTACAGCAAAGCTAAGTATGCTCCTGGGTTTGAGAAAAGCAGAATGGATTACAGGAAAGCCATCTCCCTTAGCAAAGATTTGGAACAAGTTTACCTCTTTGCCTGGTGAAAGTCATGCTAGCAAGTCCCGTACCTTTTCTCTCCTCTTTCCTCAGTCCTAAAAGCAACTTAAGATCAACCTCCAATCTAATCTAGCACACAGAACCCCCGCCCCTTCCCATCTCCTCCTCTGCCCATGTTTTCCACAACCCTTGAGGTGCTAAGAGGTGTGCTGTAATTCACTCAGGAGATAGTCTTCAAGTGCTAGAAGGAGGGAGAGTGGAAGGATTGAAGAATGAAGCAACTGACACATCTTTTTTGCCTGAAAAAACCTGTTTTTTTTTCATTTCTAGCATTGTTGGGGACCATATTTACCCTATACACATGTCAGGCATGACAATTACAGCAATGTTGCATCAGTGTAACTTGTGCTAAACTTCACGGAGTTGTTATATCTGTTGCCCCAAGCAACTCTAAAACAGGACATCTAGAAGGAAGTCCTGTTCACAGAGGGAACGCAAATCGAACCAGGTTCCAGCCCCAAAGAGTGAAACAATACTTTCAGCTGACAGATACCAAGGCAGGACTGGGAACTTGAAAGGGCAAAGTTGATGTGATGGGCTTGAGAGCAAAAGGGGATTTTCATGGGAATTCAGAGGGGACCAGAGTTCTTCCAGACAGGTAGGAGATGCCGTCTCTAATTCGCAGGTGTAAGGACTCTGCTAACCTCTTTCTCCACGTGGCCCATCCAGAGCTCCTTTTCTGAAAAAACTTACTTTGTGATGCTGAACAAATTGAGGTTCACTTAAATTAATATAATGAAAACTATGGTGGTTTCCAGGCAGGAAGAGAGGGGAGTTAAATAAATAAAGGAATCTTTGGTTGGTACCATGGCACTGCAGCTTTATTGGGAACGCTAAGAACTCTGCAATTATAGTGATGTGAAACTAAATAATTCTAAAATGTTGTAAATTAAACAATATTATATAATCACTATCACTATCACCTCATTGCTCATCGATTTTCTCGAGCAGGCACTAGTAACGTCTCCATTTGTCCCTGTCATGTTCTAGTGTAGCCTATGGCATATTAGGGGCTCTCTCAGGATCAGGGGAATAAGAACCATCATTGTTACTGTCTTTGGCATATCAAGTATGCCACGGGTAGCTTGCCAGGCTCTGCTGTGTGGGTAGGATACTCTCAGTAGCTTTCCAGGCTCTCCGAGAGGGATGGAGGCTTTTGGGGCAGCCTCTAATAACCTTTACAGGTGTTTATATATATATATATATATATATATATATATAGTCAGGTATATATGCAGGCAAGATACTCTTGGTAGCCTGCTGGGTTCTCTGAGAGTGAGACATAGACAAAAGAAGTTGCTCTAAGGGTGCTTACACTAATTTAAAATAAAGTTATTTTGTTTGAGTTTACATATGTATTTGTATGTATACAAAAATATGTATACATATGCAAGAAAACGTATTCCTTATTGGAATTGAGCTAGGAAAGAATTGGCAAAATAATTTTGGTTAATTCATAAATATAACTCTGCTGAAATACAGCAATATTTTATTGTAAACTACTTCCATTATCTCATAAGTCTTTGTACATCAGATCGGGCACCAGTAACATCTCCATTGTGAGACTTTTTGTTACTGTTTTTGGCATATCAAATATGCCATGGGGAGCCTGCCAGGCTCTGCCATGAGGGCAGGATACTCTCAGTAGCTTGCTGGGGTCTCTGAGAGAGACAGACGAACAGTACCCAGGTTGATCACGTGCAAGGCAAATGCCCTACCCACTGTGCTATCGCTCCAGTCCAATATAGAACATAAACAAAATAAAATGTTGAAAATATATTATAATCTCAAGAGATATAGAAATATATTTGGGAAAATTTAACATTCATAACTCAGTGATTGAATTTATGTCTTCCATGTTGAGGCCCCTAATTTGACCCTCATAACCATATATAAAAAATTTAATTCATTGTGCAGCTATAAGGAAAACTCTTGGCAAAGTGTGTACAGCAACAATATATCTCAATATCAAGGCCCTGGGCTGGAGCCATAGCACAGCAGGTAGGGCGTTTGTCTTTACTCAGCCAATATGGCCGACCCGAGTTCGATTCCTTCACCCCTTTCAGAGAGCCCGGCAAGCTATTGAGAGAATTTCGCCTCCACAGCAAAGCCTGGCAAGCTACCCGTAATGTATTCAATATGCCAAACACAGTAACAAGTCTCACAATGTTACTGGACCCACTCGAGCAAATCAATGAACAACGGGAAGACAGTGATACTTGCAGTGATACAGTGATCAAGGCCCTACATGACTATACCAAAGATAACACCATACTTGATGAGAAGCTGAAAGCTCTTCCTCTACAGGTGCCTACCCTTGCCATTTTTATTTATTGGAGTACTACTTGGAGAAATTAGGCACAACAAATAAATATAAGGCATTTAAACTGGAGAAGTACAACTGTTACAACTGATGATATAATTTACATAAAGAATTAAGAAAAGAATGTCATTGAAAAAGTGTTAGAACTAATAATATAAAAAACTGTAACATTTACACATTTCTATATACTGGAAATTAACTATCAAAGAAGTTAAGAAAGAAGCCCCAATTATTTTATTATATCAAAAGTAATAAAAATAAGTTAAGAAAGAAACCCCAATTATTTTAGTATATCAAAAGGAATAAATTTAACCACGAAGGTTAAAACTATTCACTAAAAACTTAAAAATATTAATAAAATAAATTGAAAAATATAGTTTGTGCTCACAGATCGAAGAATTAATATCATTAAATTAATATTGTTAAAAGTTCACACTCACAGCGGTAGGGCGTTTGCCTTACAAGCGGCCAACATGGCCGACCCGAGTTCGATTC